GGAGGAAAGCTTTGTACTCCGAGGGTGCGAAGCAAAGCCCGAAGCGGCTGACAGACAGTGCTAACCTCTCCAGTGCAGCTTGGCACTTCTGGAAGCTGTCCCAGATGAGGGCAATATCGTCTGCATACTCCAAGTCCAGAACTCGTGTGCTGTAAATGCAATCTCCATGACTTCGTGAATAGCGAAGTTGAAGAGGAAAGGTGACAACAGGCATACTTGTCTCACAAACAGATTGACTCATATATCGAATTCCTTAGGCTACGCACGTTACTAAACCCTACCTGAAGGAATTCGTTGCGGCCAGTCCTGGATCGTGCGCTACAAGAACGGACACAACTAGGACGGAAGTGAACCGCTCTGTAAGCACTAGAAAACCCGTCTACCGGAGACTTTGTTATCCGGCCGCTTGCCTGCTCCTGAGGTCCATAATGGCTCCCTTTAATTTCAGTCGCTTTGCCAGCGGAAGATTTGGCAGTACACTGATATTACTACCATTGAGTTTAAAACGTAATAGCGCTTTGCGTTCCTTTGGGGTAGGGACAACTACGCGCAATAGGCGACGTTGAGGGTTTGACACATCAACTTGGAGGGTACACAGTCTTGTCAGCTTCTAACAATAACACCGGGAAAAGCATGGTGGAAAAAACTTTGTCGCACACATATTAAACCATTTGTGGTCATCCAACATGCGCTAAGTAGGAAGGACGGCTGTGGATTCCACCGCGTTCATCATCATCATTATACGCGTTAGCTAGGGGTGGAAAACACCTCAGCTGCTGTGCCGCAATACATAGAAGAAAAAAGGAGAAAAAGGCAACAGGTGCAAGCCAGCTGAGCTACCGGTAACGGATGGGCATCGTTCCGGTAAGCTACCAGCCGGCTACTACGCATCAACAAAGTAATTACTGTGCAACATTATATAAGGCTAAATAGTGAGATGGTGGTTGGAGAGGGAGGCTAAGAGGGATGGGGTGGGACAAAGAAACTCACAGCACGAACGTCACTGAGGTCGGCTCCTAGCCATATCAGCAAGTGTATCCAGCCAAACGTGTTCATCGTCTTTCGGACCCCAACCAGGGAGCCGTGAAGCTCCAACCGAGGCGAGCACCGAAGTGAGGGCCTTCATTCCTTTGGACCAAGTCATCGCTTGGCCACCTCTCCTCTTCTTCCATCCCCACTCCCAACGAGCAAACAACACACGTCGCGGGAGCCGGTGGGCTGGCATGTGCAACACGTGGCCGAGCTGTTAGAGCCCGGTGCGTGAAATAACTGTGTTGGACGGTTCAGTTTCTTTTCCTGTGCCGTAAACAAGGCGTCGAACACGCTCGTTGCTCACGCGGTGTGCCAAATTGTGAATGAACCGGTGGTCGAACGTAACTAGCCTATTTATGTCCGTTGATCTAAGGGGCCAGGTTTCATAACCGTACAGTAGGGTTGAACGTACCGCTGCATTGTACACTCCAACCTTCAGGGCGAAATGATGTCGCGCTGGCGCCATAAGTGGCGAAGATTAGCAAAAGCGCTTCGGGCTTTTACTCGACGGTTCGTGATCACATCTTCAATCCCACGGATGCTGATAAAACTTCCCAGGTAGTTTAGTTTTTAAATGACTTCTAGCTGATTCCCTCCAAGGGTCAGCGTAGGAGGCGGACCAGACGAATCTTAGAGGAACGTTCTGCACTTCGAGGATGCGAAGCAAAGTCCGAATTCATGGATATCGAGTACTACTCTGTCCATTGCCGCTTGGCACGTCTGGGAGCTGTCACAGATTAGGGCAATATCCTCAGCGTACTCTAAGTCAAGAAGTCGTTCTCCTTAGAGCAGATCCACAGCTTCTAAGTCGTATCCTGTAAACACGATTTCCATGACTTCATCAATAGCGAAGTTGAAGAGGAAAGGTGACAGTGAGCATTCTTGTTCCACACCGCTGGAGATATTAAAGGGCGACGACATCTTACCGCTAGCCCTCGCTCTGCCCGAGCTACGCGCGTATAATGCTCGTATAATATTTACATATCTCTCAGGTGCACCTTTCCTGAGTAGACAGTCCCAAAGTGCACGTTTATCCACCGAATCGAATGCACCTTTGATATCGAGGAACACGACAACGCTGGGACGCCAATATATATAACGATGCTCCAACCACTAACGCAAAGTGAAGATGTGGTCAATGCATCCACGACCTTGACGAAATCTGGCTTGCTCTTCACGAATCTGGCTTTCACGAGTGCTAGTCAGTCTGTGAAGGATGACAGAGGCAAGCAATTCGGTGGTGATGGATATCAGACTGATTCTTCTATGGCTGCCGCATTCCGATCGTGAGCCTCCCCTGAAAATTGGGACTGTGACGGAGCGGCTCCAGTTGATTGGGACAGTTTCCTGCTCCCACAGTTTCACTAATAGCTCGTGTAAATCATCCACAAGAGCAGGACTGGAGGAAGGTCCTCTGGTCCCGTGGCCTTATTTAACCTCAACAATGTGATATCACGTTCAACTTCTGAGCGAGTGGGTGGATCCCAAGGGACAGCCCAGGGAGCGGGGTGATCAGTGGCCGGCGAGATATCTAACAATTCCGACCGATTTAATTACCTTTCAAAGTGTTCGGCCCAACGCTCCAAGCGTTTTGACAAGTTGTGGATAAGCTGTCCACTCTCGTCACGTATAGTTTCACTAACACAAGGTCTTCTGCTGCCCGATTCCCGTATCAGCAGGAATAACTTACGATGGTTACCAAGGGCAGCGGCCATTTTCATCTCTGAAGCACGATGAGACCACCAGGATTTGCGGTCTCTCTTCAAGCTAGCACGGAGTTTTGCCTGGAACTCTTTGCGAGCTTCATTGTGTTCGCTTCCAGCCGGAATATACCGGCGAGTATCTATAAGTTCCAGAGACTGTGATGGGACCCAATGTCTAGGTTGGTGATTAGACATACCGCATGAGGATTTTCCTGCTGCTAGTAAGGTCTGGTGAATAAGAGACCAGTGAGCTTCAATTGCATCCAGTGAGCGCTTATTCAGCTCGCATGACAGCGTACTTTGATAGTCATTCAGAACAGCTGGTTTTGTCAGTTGGCTAGTGTCAGTGCGGTCACAATGTCCTCGTGGGCGTCCGCCAAAGCGCATCCACATACAGGTGCATGGTCGGTGTCTACACAAATGCTCCAAATCGAGCGACAGTTTTGGACGCAGCCTTTCCATCGATAACTTATCGCAATGTGATTAATTTTATTCCAAGGCTGGTGGGCGCCAAGTCACCCTACGGCGGGTGCTGTGTCGGAAATTAGTGCTCGCAAGAAATAAGCGAGCATCCTCACACAAATGAAGTAACCGCTCGCCATTATCATTACTTGAGCCTACACCATGTTGGCCGCCCAGATGCAGTTCATCATTGTATAATTTTCCAACTTGAGCGTTCAGATCCCCAGCCAGCACTACAGTGTCCGAGCTCCTTCTATGGCGGAACAACTAGATTAATGAAGATTTGCTTATGCGATTCTTTAGTGGGAGCTTGGGTAGCGGTTCAGAAGGCAGGTACAGTAAACAGTTCTCTGTTGCTGTCGTTATAAAAGCAACACAGCTGATGCTGCCAGGTAAGGGGATTGAAAAAGCGCAGCACACAGAGCGGCCGCGTGATGCTACCGAAATGAGTGACAAGTGAAGGCGATCCTCTACTAAAACAATCGAAGTCAACCTGCAGTTCAACAACCCGCACCGGTCGCCTAAGTTTGTAATGAAATATTACTTTTTGTTAGAATTTTGCACAAATAAGCTGTGACAATCTCCAGACTACTTTAATTACCGCAGGATGTTTTGAGTCAATAGCCCAAAGCACAAGGTAATATGAGTTGCGTCTAACCCTGTGGCGCATCTCCGGAGATCCTGGGTAGTCTACCCGGGCTTATCATGCTCATCTGCGGTGGGTTTAGGATGGTCATTAATTGCACGCTGATGCTACGTCTTGGCCCTGATCATCAATACCTCCCAACCATCGCTTTTTTATGGCGGAGTATCGAGAAACAATGCTTCCTGTTTGCTGTTTTGTAACACCCTTTGCTGCAGCACTGGGCTTTGCGTTAAGCTTTCGTCATATGCTGGCTGAATCGTGCACTTCTGATGCTTACCTACCACCCATGCTAGCGTATTCGGTTTGTGGAGAACACTAGGTTAAGTTAATGAGACTGTACCATGGTAACAACCGTGGATGGGTTAATTGAGGTTTGTGTCGCGTTTACACCTGCTGTCCTCTTTAACGAAGAACAAATTCTTAATCGACACGGTCCGGTCGAGAAAACTGCCACTCATGCACTCAATGTCCTCTAACCACTGATCTTTCATCGCTTTTGCTGTTTATCGATTTTGTTTGTTTCTTTATTATTTACTTTGCCATCAGTTCTCGTCTCACTGTCATAAAACATCTGGATGCGCGCTTCTCTTTGTTTGAATCGTAGTAACAAGCTTACACTAGCCAAGCTTAGCTAATGGTATTCTTTTTCTTGTCGCCTATTCCAGCGCATTTTTGCCATTGATGGGACATGTCTAGAACTTCCTCTGTTTCCCATGATCTAATAGCCAGTTGTGAACTGCATTGCAATCGCAGTTAAATGACCTTGACGCCTCTTTGTCTTGGGCTATTCGGCACCGCGAGCTTCTTCCTTATAATGCTGCGATGGTTTAAAGCCAGAGTGATCGTCTGCAACTGCAAGCCACACGCTGCTAAGCATGCAGTCGTCACTGGGGCCACATCGGGCATCGGACGGGCCACGGCACTTGAACTCGCTCGACATGGATGGACGATCACTTTGGCTTGCAGGTTTGTTTGTTTTCTGATTACATTCATCCTTTCTAGAAACTTGGAAGTCGCTGCGTATGTAAAGAAAGAAATCGTTGTTTTAACCGGCAATTCGAATATTGACATTCGCAAATTGGACCTTACAGAACGCAGTTCCATTGACAGCTTTGTTACTTCTTTGGATGACGCAAACGTGGACGTTTTAATCAATAATGCTGGGGTTATGGCCTCGTCTGCACGACCAGTTCACTCTTTCGGTGGGGTAGACGTCAATGTGGCTACGAACTACTTAGGCACTTTCTATCTTACCTATACAATGCTGAGTCGCGGAAAGATGTCCCCTTATTCTCATTCCGCTTATCCACGAATTATCACCGTTAGTTCCTCTCTATCATCCAAAGGAAAGGTAGACGGTATTCTCATGCCATGGAAAGCTAATGCACCATGGAATACTACTGTGGCTTATGCAAATTCTAAACTTGCTTGTTGTCTGCTCTCCCGTGAGCTTCATCGACGTTTTGGTTCGGCAGAAAAGAAAATGGTATCCGTTTACTGCCTTTTTACTGGCGGCATGGTAAACACAAATCTGAATCGCGAACTTATTTTACGCTACCCACTAGTGATTCAGGGGCTCTGGCGTCTCGCTAGCAGAGTTCTTCTGAAGTCGCCTTTCGAAGGTTGTCAGAGTGTCGTACACTGTGCAGTCAGCCCTGATGTTCCCGGCGCGCATCATACACACGCATTACCTGCTATCTATGATCAGAGTGATGGTAGTGGTTTGTTATACAGAAATTGCATCCCAATCCCTTGGCCACCATTTGTTGATACCCAGAAAGCCACATTTTTATGGCAGGAAACGATGCAGCTGTTACGCTTGGACGACTGGTGATGAGCTTTTATTCTGAGCGCTGCAATTACATCAGTACTTATTGTGTCGATTCCTATAATAAATCTGATTACATTGAGTGATCCTCGCTTTATCCATCACATCATTTAAAGAAAGTCTGGTTAACTAGATACGGTTGTGTTTACTTGTTCCTTTTTACAGGCTATTGATTCGCGGACCGAAACATCCATTCCCCCAGAGTAAGCAAGAAGAAGGCTATATCGTTGCCATAAGTTGTTCTGTTTGAATCACTGGCCGTAAGGAGCATGTTACTCTTAGAGTATGGTGGGAACTGTTATTTGGAATAACACTGAAACATTGCTTTACTGGAAGTCCCCGAGCTAACTTGGAGCATTGTTGAGGGCGAAAGCTCTTGGTATGGAGAAGCTTAGCGCCCTTCAGAATACTTGAGAACTCTTCCAAAGTATTCTACACACAAGTGCGAGAAAGGTTCCCGTGAGTGAGACGATAGCTTGAAAGATTAGGCTCCTGATTCACTCACATTCACCTTGGCTGGAATACTGCGCTGAACATTGTAGAGGCGGCAACAATACACTGGGGCGTCGCACCGACGCTTCGCTACCTCGCGTCCAGCACTATTCGCGCGCGGGCTAATGATACTGCAGTCACTCGCATGTATGCGGACTCGAACCGGCCACCTCTGGACTACAAGGCAAATGCCGCATTCGGTCGTTTCCGTTACCTTGATGCGCCTGAATTGTCTGTTGGGTTGTCTTTCCTCGTATGTTAAGGTAACAAGTTCCACTAGCGAAGCGATTCGACACGAGCCAGTGCTGCTTAAGCGGAATCGGGCGCCTAGCTCAGACGATATTCCACCATCGTCACTGGACAGTGTTAACTCACTAGTGACTGCGTTGGATTCTATATTCGCCTATATTTGACATAAGAAGAAGTGCCCTCTGGCTACCGGCTGCCGGATATCATTCCGGTTGTCAGCTTAAGTTCATTTGCGAGCAGCTTGTTGTCGTGAATTGCTCTGCGGCGGCTCGCTGATCCTCGTGAGAAACAGATCAGTAAAATTCAGGCGGATTTCTGTCCCGACAGAGGGCGCGTCTACCGCATTTTTTTTCCTTTAACAACTTAAACATCACCATCCTTTCTGATACCCCACCATCCTAATCTTTCTTGACCCAAGGGTTATCTTCAATTCTGTTGGTTTCATCTGTTTATGATGACATCTGAAAGACGTATTTGAGAAATTCTTATTCACCTTACAATCTCTATATTAAGATTGCCGCGGGCGTATCATTGTCTGTGGGAAACTGTTCCCTTGACTTCATCACTTTAACTGGAGTGCGTCATAATAGTCCTATTTCTCCTCGTGAATGACTCTTACCTTCATCTCTCCTGGGGTTATTATTCTTTGATGTTATAGACCGAGTCCGCCTACTAGCGATTCTCACCATCACTGATACTTTTGAGGTTCCTTTTTAGAAATTGGCGTTATTTTGGTTGACCTCCAGATATCAGGGATGGCACCGATAGTCAAAAATATCAGTTAGAGGTAATGTAAGGGAATCGGCCCACTGTTTCAAAACCACTGGTAATAAGCCCTCGGGGCCACTAGCTTTATTTGTATTTAGCTTCTTGAGTTCTCTATTGACGTCAACTTGATCAAAAAACGCGGCAGGGTATGAGCTAGTGAAGAAGGGAAATGGAAAGGTGCTCGACAGAGCGGAACTAACTTCAGAATTGAGTTTGTTGGCATCCACGATTCTAGTACCTCCGATCGTACTTTTAATGCAGAGTTGCTTCAACAGCCTTTAAAAGATCCCGGCCGTTACAGTTTCTCAGTACCGTTTCAATGTATAAATTGTTGTCTTGCTATTTCAGCTTTAATTGCTATGGTCAGGCTTTTGATTCGGGCAGTCATTTTAAGGTTGTAAGCACGTTCTTTTTTTCTTTGAAGTTGTTTCAGCAGGGGTGAGGGAGATGTACCTGCTCGCAGGTACATCGTCTTTACAGGGCATCATAAGTGGAAACAGAAGTATGTAACTCATGAGATGATCGCATTGAAGCAATAGATCTTCATCTGTAAAAACTGGAAAATCAGTTGAAGAAAGCATTGTTGGTTAATCCGACTTATATCGCATTCTCGTATGATATGCCGATTAGATTTGATTAGAATACTAGAAAATCATTTAAGCATGGAGGCTTTCGGTGCTGCTCAATCCCATACCTGCATTCCACGACCGATTCATCAAGTAGTGATACCCTGAAATGCGAATTGAACCCGGCACATGGTGATCACTAGGCCATTGAGCTCCGTAAGCAGAGCTTGATACAGCGGTTAGAAGTTGGTTGCAAGGTTTCGGAACATCCGCCGTGTGTCTTGGGTTGAGACACGCAATCTCAGTAGTTGCCACGGTTGACTTTGAAGTCAGCCTCTGCCAATAAGATCACTGCGACCGTCACCGAAGTGTATAATTTGGATGTGGCTCTCTCGCATCCCTGCACTCCACGATCGACTGTTTCGTCCTTGTTTGGACTCATCAGTTAGAGCTAGTCTTAAATGAGCATGGGACTGAGCACATGGTGGTTGGCGACTATCTCCGTGGTCACTTGGCTATTGAACTCCGCGAGCAGAGCACTACACAAGGAGTATAAGTTGATTGTCAAGGTTCGGAGTACCCGTCATGTGTCTTGGATTCCGACACGCAATCTACACGTGGAGCTCAACGGCCTAGTGATCATGGCGATAGCTGCCAACCCCTATGTGCCAAGTACTAGTCCCAATTCAAGCTATCTCTACCTGATGCGTTCAAACAAGCACGAAATCGTCGGTCGTGGAGTGCAAGGATGGAAGAAAGCAATACCGGAACCATCCACTTCGGATACGGCACCAGTGGTCGGATTGGCAAATGGTGACTTCACAGTCAACCGTGGTCAAAATTGCCATTCAGTCTACAGTCGTATCGGAGTCCGGTTATTGTGTGCTTTGGATAATGAGGTCGGCTGGGTCTCCGCGCCAGTGTGGCCGTCAGACGATGCAGTTTGCAGTCGAGTCTCCACTTCATATGTGGCCCGACAAAAAGGGTAGAGAGACAACTGTAACACAGCTTACGCGCAGTTTCATGAAGGCTTGCGCTCCTACACAGCGTACCGATTGGACGAGTTCACTTGAGAGAGAAAGCGTCGGGTTTCATTCATTCGCTCATCGATGCAACAAACATGGATGCCGCTGGACCTAGATTCTCCGACTGCCTGTATATGTAAAGTTCATACTCCTTTTTTCCTATCTCCCTTCTGATGATTGTTCGATGCGACTGCGTGCGTTAAAACCTTCAGAGAGGCATGGATCTATCGAGCAATACGCTTTCTCTCGCCGCATACCCACACATTTGATGGATGCTCAATTCTTGAAGGTTTTGAGGTGGACTGTTTGGTTACTTATGAGTAGATGGATTTCCAATGATAATTTACAAAACCAGGGCAATTTCGTTGCAGCAATTTCCAGTGAGACAGGAAATTGATGGACAGAGATTTCGGTATATTGAAGCTGGTCAGCATTACACGCATCGTCGTAGCTCTCGAGGCTGCCCCTATCCACTGCAATTCCATGACATACATGGCAGTGAAGATGACCCGCGCTAGATCACAGCTAAATATCAGCCATAACAGTCCATCGTTATCACTCGTAAGAATAATGCATTCTTAACAGGATTCCACAGATGCACGCTAACGGCGAGTCCCAATAAAAGAACTAGCCCGTCTATGACCTAATTTAAGTGTACTTTGGTTTGGCCCAACTGCGGTGAAGACGCATCATGAATGCCACACCAACCTCAGCATTGGGCACACATACATACATGCTTGGCGGCATCCGGTTTCGGATTTGCCTGTCACTGTGGCAAGCCACAGGACGCCAGCGCCTACAAAGGGACCATGGGTGGCTTCGCTGCACCAACCACACCCCATATCCAGTGTAAACCCGAAGGAGTAATACCGGGAGGCATGTGGATGGGAGCCACGTTTCATCAACGGAGCCGGCTCACACTCCTTCACATGCAAACACAAGTGTGCTGTATTTGGGGAATCAAACGCACACAAGGCGGTGGTTGGACCGTAGTCCGCTCCACACTGAGTGTATGGAACCACTCTTACGAGCCTAGCACGGCCACAAGGTCAGTGTACCCCGTCCCCTCTAGCAACGACCAGCTGTTTCCTGAAGCCAGTATGGAAGAGGTAGTGGGTACTAGACAGGTAGGCACCTTGTCAACATGCACATCAAACGCAGCCACTCCGGGAATATCAAGCAACAGTCAATCACTTGAAACGACAAGATGAAATAAAATAAATCGGATGATGCATGCAGATATGGAGACATAACTCTTCACTAAATGAGCGTATAATAAATGATTACGAACGAATCGGCGTGAAAGTTCAATAGGTCAGAAAACATATTTCAAGAAAATGCCACAAACGCGAAAATGTTATAGAAATTAACTACAATTAGCTTAAGCGAGTTGTGCAGCTTTATAGAAGAGCGTACAGGTGGACATTTGTTTGAGAAAGAAAAGCATTAGAACAAAAGTGAAAACCCACCACCTGAAATAAAGGGACTTAGCATGCAAGCAAGCGGTTAGCAAATCGAATGCAGCGTACCTAAGAACGCTGCGCCAGTTCTTTCTACGTTCTCTGCATGACCTGTCGTCCCTTCGATTGTGGTCCCGAATGGCCTCGCTCATGGCTCACTAGCCCTGCCTGACTGAGGCACTCGCTACCACATGTGCTACAGCGTCATGTGCTCGATGTCGATGGAATACAACACATGGGCACTTCCGTACTTGCCGCTTCTTCCCTGCATGCATGACATCTTTCTACTGCAGCTTGGCACCTACCTTTGTGATTATGCACGCCGATCAACCTCCCTTCGATACTCTTGACCCGCAATCAAGATTCGAACGTGAGAGGCTCACTTTGATCATGACCTGGTAACGTAACTATGGTTTCCCCACATGCTGCTTCCCAATACTCAGCTGACCATATAATAGTTGTTTCGGTATCCGCGTCGAATCCATACGGCTCACATGACCGAGCCACCTCAGGTGTCTCAGCAAGAGTATGCAGTCCACTGCCTAATTTCCATTTCGGTGTCCACAACTCTGTCGCATCAACCGATGAGCAGAATCCGTCGCAAAAGCTGTTGATGGAGCCGCTTAAGATATCTCACAAATCG